AAATGGATTCCATTGCTAGCCACTATCCATCTTTGCATATAAAGCTTGTGACTTTAGGTAATATCAAGGCAGTCCGCATATATGCCAACATGTGACTGATCAATTGCAGTCCTAAATAACAATGGGAAGATTCAAGTAAATAATACCAAGTGAATAAGTATTAAAGTGTAGATCACGTAATATTATTAATTATCACACCCAATGAACAAGTTGGTAAATATTTATGAACTTGTTATATAAATGGATAATACGTTAAATTAATCGGGGAGGGGTGTATTGAGATTCAAGATCAAATGTCAGGATCAACAGCGCAATACAGATGCGTCGAGCTATGATATATCTCTGATATAACTAAACAAATCTTGTATTTCAATACTAGCTATTCTTCAAACAAAAACGCACACCTAATTATTATCCTGTTTTGGATTTCATTATATGATAAACATTATAATCGCACAATGATGAATGTAGTTACACAGTTACTTACGCTTGTTACTCTTCGTGTAGAAGCATAGACTACACACCAGCACTCTCCATCAAACTCTGTCATGCACAATCCGTTCCAGCTCTTTCCAGTTCATATTCATCCCTTTCATATTCGCTTATATTTCCCGACGTAATGTGTTCTTTGGCCTTTCTCTTTTCCACTTCCCTTCAAGACTCCAAGTTAGCGCTGCCTCGTAATGCAGTTTGATGATTTGCGTAATGTATGTCCTATCCATTTTCATAGTCTTTTCCTAATTTCCTATTCAGATGGAATCTAGCTTGTTCTCTCCTACAGTAGGCTGTTGTTGATGGTATCGTTCAATGGATGTTGAGTATCATGTGTAGACAATTATTTATAAATACTTGTACCTTCTTGATGATGGTTGCATTATTTATCCACGTTTCTGCTCCATACAGTATAGCTGTCTTGACTTTCGTATTGAAGATTGTGACTTTGATATTGGTTGACAGATTGTTGTTTTGAGTCCCTGAATTGTAGAAATGCGGCCTTTGCTTTACCAATCCTCGCCTTTACGTCTGCATCAGATCCTCCTTGTTCATAGATGATCCTTCCCAGGTAGGTGATGGATTCCACATCTTCCAGAGTTTGTCCATCAAGTGTGATTTGGTTGGTGTTCTCTGTGTTGTATTTGAGGACCTTGGTTTTCCTTTTGTGTATGTTGAGGCCTACTGATGAATAGGCTTCTGCTACACTGGTTGTCTTGACCTGTATTTTTTGGTGTGTATGGGATAGAAAAACTAGGTAATCTGTGAAGTCCAAATCTTCTAACTGATTTTGAGTTGTCCATTGTATTCCATGCTTTTCCTCAGATGTCGAGATCTTCATAATCCAGTCAAGCACCAGAAGAAAGGGGGAGGGGGTGAGTTGACAGCCTTGTCTGACTCCGGTCCTTACTTGGATTGCATCTACTAGCTGTCCTCCATGCAAGACTTTGCACTGTAGTGAGTTGTATGAGTTCCGGATAATATTGACAATCTTCTCAGGAACTTGATATTGCCGAAGAATTTTCCATAACGTTCTCCTATCTACATTGTCAACGCGTTCTCATAGTCAATCGAGTTGATGTACAGTGACGAGTTCCACTCAACTGATTGTTCGACGATGATCTGTAGTGTCGCCATCTCGTCTGTGCATGACCGATCCTTACAATATCCAGCATGTTAATCTCAAAGTTCAGCGTCTACTGTATCTTTCATTATGATTTACTATATTTCAACCAGTTTCTTGTGCAAATATAATCTTGTTCTACGTAATATTTACATAAAATAACTTCGCATGAACTAAATTTTGATATTAGAGGATCAGAGGTAATAAGCTAGAATACATGCTCAACCTGAGATACGCTCTTATTGGGAATTAGTGGAAAGGTGTTCCTGAAATCTTGATAGATTGAAGCTCCCTGTTGAGTTTAAAACCAATTATCTCAGCTCAGCGGTCTAATAAGTTATCAGAGAGCTACAAGGACCTTGAATGATCTCCCTCCAAATAACCTGGTACAGCCAAGAGTGCGTAGAGTCAGCTCTCCCTCTCCAAATGCTTTCACATGGCCACGTACATACAGCCACTACCAGGGTAGTCCTATTCATTGCCATTTAGTAGTGAGGGTTTTGTTTATGAAATTGAGTGAATAAAAAGCGATTGTTTGGAGCTTTAATCGGGTCGATGGACACGGGGAGTTCACCTAGGCGAGTTGTAAAACACTGATTCCAAACCAATGGTGAACATGAGCTTCACGATCCTGAAGGAACGAATGGCATACAAACCAATTATTGGTCGCAGGCTACCATATGACTGCATCTCCTGACATTGCTCCACTGCGTTGTGGATCAGACCTTTAGGTTGAAGCCTGCAGTTGTGTTCCCTTAAGAAAATCACTTGCTTTGGTGTGTGCACCTGAGCAGTATCATATCCCACACACAAATCAAGTGAGTTTTGTGGCGTATATGTACTTGGTGACATCTCGTACCAATATTGATATGTTCAAATAAATAAATAGTGAATATCTTGTCAAACTAAGTGATGAGTATTTGTATTTCATATAGAGAGCTAGTTTCCTCAAAATACAAAACATTCCTTACTGAAAAATACCATCTATCAGAAAATATTAATCTATGATTTGTGATTGGTTACTTTTAAACAGCTAAGATCCCTACACAAATTATCGATTGAAATCTTAATTCAAAATCTATGATGCCATCAGGGAAGAATAAAGATAAATCAATGGAGGACATTCTCTTTCGGACACTTTTATTTATTTAAATTGCATAGTTGTACTTATAGTTGATTTATTTACTAAAAATAGAAGTGTGCTGCATATTGTAACATTGTGTTATAAATCGCTTGAAAAAACTCAATTATTCAAAAGAAGTTATGTAATAATTTAACAGTTAATAAGAAATATTAGGATGAAGATAATTGTCTACTTGAGAAATAATAAGTAGAAAATTGTTAATTTTAATAGTTGAGATCATGAGTCAGTTGAAGCTAAACCACCATGAAAAACATGGAAGTACTAGACGGCTATTTCGTTCTATTGTGAGATTTCTCAACAGTGCATATCCACGATCCTGCCTTGAAAGATTCCAAACCAGGACCTATCAGTCTAGCGTGCGTGCACTTAACCACTAGACCACTGAGCCGACCAGAATCCAATCGTATTAATGTATAACTTCAACCAATTCACGATGCTGCGCCACTGTCCACCATTTTCTTCAGTGTGTTACTATTTTATAACAAACCCGATTGAACTCCACTGGTCACTGCTTCTCACTTGAACTCCAGGAAATAACTATTTAAGACAGCCACGAATGAGTATATGTTGATTAGTATCAGAAGAGTAATAAAATAGCAAGCAACTATCTGTGAGAAGATAATTACAAATGAATAGAGAAAAAAAGATAGATTATGGGAGATAAAAAGGAAGGTTAACACCATGAAATCATGAGAGATTATGTATATTGTTTTCACACATTAAGTTTGAGGTTTGATTGATGGGAATAGCGCAAGTATCTGGTGTATACAAGCTTTTAAGTTGTGTTCCTTTTGAAATTGGTAAAACAGAGAATTGACTTGATGTTCCAGGATTGAACCTTAGACTGAATTTTGTAATCCTTTATATAATCAAGAAGGGTTATGTTAGGAGATGCTCTTCGAAAGAGTTTGCCTTGTGAGGTCAATGTAACCTCTTTCATATCAGCAAGTAAACTAATAGATGTAAATTAATTCAGCTCATAGTGGGAATTTGTTATTCAAGCAACTACGAATCAATGGATAACTTGAGAAGTTTAACCTGAAAAGAATGTTTTTCTCAGAAACTTCGAAAGTCTACTTCTCAGAATCGCCGTTTTAATATCTTTTTTAAACTTATTGCTTATAGAGAGGGTCTGTTTTGATGCTAGATGCAATTTCGCGTTGTTGTTGTCGTTGTTTAGACTTGAGACTTTTGTTAATGAATCTAGGTGGATATCCATTGTTGTTCAATATCTTCCCTAGTTTATTAATTTCAACATTGATTTTATCGTTAGTACAGATTCGTTTAGCTCCCATTCACAGGGAATAAATCAGGTTTCTCTTTTACTTCAGTCGGATACAGTTTTAAAATTTTGTGTACTGACTGTACTAAGTTGGCTTCTTATATGTTGATCTTTGTAGAGAACTATCAGGTCTCCTTTCTAACATGACATTTAAGAAGTAGAATTGTGAATCTGACACTGATTCTATCATGAGCTCAACTGAATGACGGCAGTTATTGAACTTGTCCTGGATATCGCTAGCATTAATATTTCTGTCACAAATGATGAAAGTATCTAAATATTTATCACATAGGAAGAAAATGACAGTTATTGGTCTGAATAGAGTGGGCATTTATTCATATGTAATATATATTGTAGTAAAGAAGAAATTATGAGGTCAGCTCTAACTTAGAATTTCCAAGGCAAAAGAAAAAGAGGAAGGTCAAAGGATGCATTGCAACGGGAATTGGAGGTAGGTATCAAAAAGACAAATAGCTTTTGGAAAAGAAAGTCAAAGTTGGTTGTAGAATCCTAATCGGAGACCTACGCTCCATAAGAATATACAGGCGTAACTAAGTAAATAAGTAAAGGGAAATCTTTCTTATGTACTTTAAGGAAACCATGTAATCGTGGTATCACGGATTTAATTGGTCTCAGTTATTTATTGAGGTCTACCCCAACAACTGATTCATCATTCACCTTCTTAAGAACTTCACTTAATTTCTGCTCGGTTCTTTTAGTAGCATTATTTAAAGAAGCGTTCTCTTCAGAAATGTGTTGGTATCAGTTAGAATATAAGATGAATTTGAAATATAATCTTAACCAGTAATGATAACAATAACGGTATCCTGACAAGAACAATATAACTCTATATCTCAACAGATAATGTAGTCGGATATACATATATTACAAATACTGTATTCAGGCATCTTCAAGTCACGACGTACTACTTAAATGCGAATTTCCCATCATCTATTGAGATGTTTACTTATGTAGTACTGGAACGATTTACTACCACTTTTACTACCACTACTACTACAACTACTACTACCACCACTAATACCACCACTACTACCACTACTACTACCACCACTACTACAACTACTATTACTACTACTACCACTACTACTACCACCACTACTACAACTGCTATTACTACTACTACTACTACTACTACTACTACCATGACTACTGGCACTACTACTACCACTACTACTACCACTACTACTACCACCACTACTACCACTACTACTACAACTACTATTACTACTACTACTACTACTACTACTCTGATTTTGTCATGTGACCTGAGATTGTTCTAGATATTGGACAAATATGATTCAACACAGAAATTATAAATGATCAAAAAATTTTTTTTGTTTTTCTTTATCATTATTCATATTGAACATTTATATTATTGAATTTTTTATTAAATTAATAATAATTATAGACAAATTTAAATGATAATAGTTTATATTAATTACCTTTTGAACTTACATAAGTTTTTGCTTCTATTGAATTCTATTCGAGCTAATTCATGTCAGGTATGGAAGATAGTCGAGCAATTTCGTGGATTGGTTGAGATTAGACATGATTACCGTTGGATACTAGCTGGCTCAGTAGTCTAGATGTTAATCGTTCTCGCATGAGATCGAAGTTCCTGGGTTCGAATCCCACAGGGAGGATTGTGGATATCCACTTCTGAGTAGTTCCATACTAGAACGAAACAGCTATTTAATACTTCCAGGTTTTCAATGATGATCTAACATTTATTAATTCATGATCTTAATCAAAAATTTACTAATCTTCACAACTTCATACTGATATTTTAATTGTGCTTAACTACTCAGTAGGTTTCAGTAGTTCATTGTAATAGAAAGTTTCTCACTAGTTTTTTCTTCTTCTTCTTCTTTTAATCAAAATCATTTAATGATTTTTGTAGTTTATTGGGAGAAAAAAAATTGATCGTACGTGAAAAACCTTAAAAACTAAAAAAAAACAAAACAATTTAATCACTAGGTTGTAAGAAAAAAGTCATATGGTGTTTAATCATTCTGTTTAGTTGATTTACAATTATATTAAATGTTTATAGATGTATCATCTGTTGAAATATATGTTATGATATGCCTCCAAATGCTTTAGTATAGCTGAGAGTGGAGAGAGTCAATTCTTCCTCTTGAAATACTCTCATATGGCCACGTGCATACAACCACTTTCAGGAAAGTCCTATTCGTTACCTTCTCGTGGTACGGGTGTTGTTTGCAAAGTGAAGAGAATGAAAAGTGGATATCCAGTGCTTTAACCGGGTTGGTTGATGTGAGGGATTCAAGTAGGGTAGTTTGAAAACTTTAATTTCAAACCAGTGGTGCACATGGGCTTCAGGATCCCGAGGGAATAAATGGCGTATGAATCAATTGTTGATCACTGGCTACCATGTGACTGCATCTCCTGTCGTTGCTCTACTTCCTTGTGGACCAGCCCTTTAGGTTGAAGACTCCGGATGTGGCCCCCTAAAAGAATCACCTGATTCGGTTTGAGAAACTGGGAAGTATCCCAGCCTTCACACAAATCGAATGATTTATGTGGCATATATCTGTTTGGTAGCTTTTTGTATCAATGTTTATGTGTTTAAATAAATAAAATAAATAACTAAAACTATACATTTGTCTACTAGTACCTAATGTTGACTGATAGGTTTTGTGCAATTCACTTGAAAGTTATAATTTTCAATGTCAACTATATTAACATTTACATCATAACATAATAATAGCTTTCAGTGAGAATTAATTTTAGTTGCATGTATGAATTACTTGGTTGGATCTAATGTATGTTCATCAGTTTCAAGTTTGAACAAATATCACTAGTCCCAATAGTTGAAATCATGAGTCGATTGAAGCTAGACTACCGTGGAAAACCTGAAAGCACTGGACGGCCGCTTCGTCCTAGTATGGGACTCTTCAGAAGTGTGCATCCACGATCTCGCGATATTCGCATCCAGGACATTAACACCGTTGGATGCCGCCTCGGTGGTCCAATGGTTAGGTGCTCGCGCGCATGACTGATAGGTCCTGGATTCGAACCTTGCGGGGGTTGGGATCGTGACTGCGCACTGCTGATGGGTCTCATACTGGGATGAAACAGCCAACCAGTGCATCCATGTTTTCCATGGTGGTCTGGCTTCAATTGACTCATGATCTCAACTATTAAAATTACTATAATATCCACAAAACCTCTTCTGATAAAACATCATTAGTGACTCGGGATTTGACTTGAGTTAAATAATATGTTATTTAAATATACATATCGTAAATCTTTGTATAAAATTATGAGCTTGAATTACGTCAGCGAATAATTGAATTCAATAAGTTGAATACGTGAATGGATTAATGAATATATATATATATTACACTGATTGCTCTGGACAGACAATCAGTGAAGAGAAGAGAAGAGAACGAAGCGAAATAACGCGCAATGGAGATGCCATGTGAGCCAACTCGGTTTAATCAAGCGTTAATCGATATTTATAGTCATACAAAAATAAGCTACAGACATGTGATGAGTAGAAAGAGAAATGTATACTCGTCCGTTCATATAAAAATAGTCACGATTAATTAGCAAATAGTTAACAGAGTCAAAATGTAGCTTGAGAAGAATGAATAAATTAACTTGTCCGGAAGCTAGAATAAGGTATGTAGGACCAGCCACTATATATCTCTCTAGGACTGCTTGGTTTTCATCGACTATTTAGTTAAATTAGTCCATTATACTGACTGTCTTCCAGCAAAAGCTTTACCAAACAATCTTGACTAAACTATTTTGAAAAACATAATAAACTGAGTAACTGTTTTTCATATTTTAAAGCTTACCAACAATATATGGATATCTTTTAATGCCCTGGTACAGCTAAGAGTGAGGAGAGTTAGATCTTTCACTTCAAATGCTTTTACATGGCCACATGCATACAACCACTGCCAAGAAAGTCCTACTCACTACCTTCTTGAGGCGAAGGTGTTGTTTATGAAATTCAGTGATTGTCTGGTGCTTTAACCAGGTTGGTGGATATGAAGGGTCCACCTAAATGAGTTGGAAAACCCTTGTTCCATGTGAATGCATCTCATTACGTCCCTTCTCAAAACTTTGAAAGTATTACATGTGGTGTTAATGAATTGATAAACTATTTGATAACTGTTGCTGAAAACCATCTTACGAGTTATTGAATATTTAACTTATTAAAATTAACTGGAGGCAATTTAATTAAGTTAACGGTTAAATGAATAGTTAAGTAGAATGAAATAACTCTGAGAAGACATTCTGTAGTTCTACTGAGAAGTACTGAAATACAAATCATCAGTTGAGTTGGACTGTGATCATGCTGTAGAGTAAATTGATTAAAATTTAAAATGTGGATTACTGTGCTTCACCTTAATGTTTCACTATGATAAATAAATATTGTAAATTTAATTTTACATATAAGAACTATGGAGTCGCACTACTTGTAAAAAGTGCCAAACATGACCAATACATACCATTTAAGTTTATAATGATCCTTCAGTCGTTGAAGGAGACTAATTTTAAGTATTGAAGAATCCTTATTACTCACCATTTCATCATATTCTCATCAATAGTTAACTTTGAAGAGAATTTCCAGAATTTCTTATTTTCTATAATTCTCTATCTGATAACGATGCCTGAATAAAATAAATTTGAAATCAAACAATTTTCATAAAATTTCTTACGTAATCAAATCAATGATTTTTCACAAATGAAGTGATTCATGAAAAATTACTTTCACAAATGCCCCCAAATGCTCTGGTACGGCCGAGAGTGGGGAGAGTTCGCTCTCCCTCTTGAAATGCTCTCACATGGCCACGCGTATATAGCCTCTGCCAGGGAAGTCCTACTCACTGCCTTCTCGTGGCGGGAGTGTTGTCTACGAAAATGAGAGGACGAAAAGCGAATGTGCGGCGCTTTAACCGGATCCAAAACCAATGGTGCACATGGGCTCCAGTATCCTGCGGGAACAAATGGCGTATGAACCAATCGTTGATCCCCGGCTACCATGGGACTGCATCTCCTCACGATGCTCCACTGCCTTGTGGATCAGACCTTTAGGTCGAAGGCTCTGGGTGTGGTCCCCTAAGAAAACCACCTGCTTCGGTTTGGGCACCCAGGCAGTATCACAGCCCTCACACATATCAAATGAGATCTGTGTGGCGCATATGTATTTGGTGCCTCCTTGTAGCAATATCTATGTGTTAAAATAAATAAATAAATAAATTTTCACAAATAAAAGTGTCTATAATGCGTATACCCTTCTGTTAATGTTTACATCAAGACGTCAACCCTCAGTACAATTTCACTTCAAATATAAACGGGTTAACCACTCAGTCCAGTTTCTAACTAACTTGTTCAACAATTATGATGTTTGTATCATTATCGAGAAAGTTCACTTGATATTATTTGATTGTATATTGGAATTGTTGTGTAGGACTGTAATTGATTAATTTCTTGTGAAGAGATTATAGACGAGCCAATCAGAAGAGTCTGAGGTATCTTAAGGTCACAACACCAATTTCAGTATCTGATGCTCATGTACGATCGGTTCGTAACGAATTTTAGAGAAAACGTGATGATTGACCGATTACAATAAATGGGACTATTAAAAAGTCCCTTCATTTGTGATTAAGGTAATCAAATGACTTGTGGACCTTGTGCAGACTATCGTGATGATATTCTTTATGTAATATGTATTGGAGGAAGAAGTCTGCTAGAATAGGATTTTTTCGCTAGATCCAGATTGTGACTAATGCAAATTATGACAATGGTTACAAACTGGATAATGAAAGCAACAGTAACACTGGCTGCTACCGGTTACTACAATATATATGGTTGATTGGAAAGCGTACAGATGGCTACATAGACTTGTTTATGTGCATCGTGTCTTTATCCGCAAGTGGCTTTTTGTGGTCCCAACTACTGGAGTGCACACAAAAAATATCGAGGCTGGAAGAGTATTAGCAACTTTATCATGGATCCAAAGGCCGACTATTCTGTAGCCATATGGATGATTTCCTATACCGTATGCATTACGATTTTAGAACCTCTGAATCTCTTTCTAACCTTGACAAGTATTTGGACTAAGTAAAAGAAGTGTATCCATTTTAATTCTTTGGTTTTGTATAATATATTTTTACTCTATACCAACTGTTTTCTGATTGGCCAACATTTCTAAAGGTCACGTAATATTCTTTCAAAGGTCGTCTATAAATTATAGTTTCGCCTCTATTGTTGGCTTATGTACATCCTGTGCAAATTACCTTAA